CCTTACTATACTATGTCGTTTTTTGTCAATTTCATGCCTTACTATACTCTGTTGTCCTATGCCTTAGCATACTATGTCGTTTTTATGACTTTTTATGCCTTACTATACTATGTCGTTTTTTGTCAATTTCATGCCTTACTATACTCTGTTGTCCTATGCCTTAGCATACTATGTCGTTTTTATGACTTTTTATGCCTTACTATACTATGTCGTTTTTTGTCAATTTCATGCCTTACTATACTCTGTTGTCCTATGCCTTAGCATACTATGTCGTTTTTATGACTTTTTATGCCTTACTATACTATGTCGTTTTTTGTCAATTTCATGCCTTACTATACTCTGTTGTCCTATGCCTTAGCATACTATGTCGTTTTTATGACTTTTTATGCCTTACTATACTATGTCGTTTTTTGTCAATTTCATGCCTTACTATACTCTGTTGTCCTATGCCTTAGCATACTATGTCGTTTTTATGACTTTTTATGCCTTACTATACTATGTCGTTTTTTGTCAATTTCATGCCTTACTATACTCTGTTGTCCTATGCCTTAGCATACTATGTCGTTTTTATGACTTTTTATGCCTTACTATACTATGTCGTTTTTTGTCAATTTCATGCCTTACTATACTCTGTTGTCCTATGCCTTAGCATACTATGTCGTTTTTATGACTTTTTATGCCTTACTATACTATGTCGTTTTTTGTCAATTTCATGCCTTACTATACTCTGTTGTCCTATGCCTTAGCATACTATGTCGTTTTTATGACTTTTTATGCCTTACTATACTATGTCGTTTTTTGTCAATTTCATGCCTTACTATACTCTGTTGTCCTATGCCTTAGCATACTATGTCGTTTTTATGACTTTTTATGCCTTACTATACTATGTCGTTTTTTGTCAATTTCATGCCTTACTATACTCTGTTGTCCTATGCCTTAGCATACTATGTCGTTTTTATGACTTTTTATGCCTTACTATACTATGTCGTTTTTTGTCAATTTCATGCCTTACTATACTCTGTTGTCCTATGCCTTAGCATACTATGTCGTTTTTATGACTTTTTATGCCTTACTATACTATGTCGTTTTTTGTCAATTTCATGCCTTACTATACTCTGTTGTCCTATGCCTTAGCATACTATGTCGTTTTTATGACTTTTTATGCCTTAATATACTATGATGTTTTTTTGATGTTTTATGCCATACTATACTATGACGTTTTTTTTCATTTTTATGACTTACTATACTCTGTTGTTCTATATCTTTGCATACTATGTTGTATTTATGACTTTTTATGCCATAATAAACTGATGTTTTTTTGACGTTTTATGCCATACTATACTATGACGTTTTTTGTCAATTTCATGCCTTCCTATACTATGACGTTTTTTTTCATTTTTATGACTTACTATACTCTGTTGTTCTATGCCTTAGCATACTATGTTGTTTTTATGACTTTTTATGCCATAATAAACTATGATGTTTTTTTGACGTTTTATGCCATAGTATACTATGACGTTTTTTGTCAATTTCATGCCTTCCTGTACTATGACGTTTTTTTTCATTTTTATGACTTACTATACTCTGTTGTTCTATGCCTTAGCATACTATGTTGTTTTTATGACTTTTTATGCCTTAATATACTATGATGTTTTTTTGACATTTATGCCATACTATACTATGACGTTTTTTGTCATTTTTATGGGTTACTATAATATATCATTTTTTGGCATTTTTATGACTTACTATACTCTGTTGTTCTATGCCTTAGCATACTATGTTGTTTTTATGACTTTTTATGCCATAATAAACTATGATGTTTTTTTGACGTTTTATGCCATA